GTGGGGGGGGTGGAGCAGCTGTAGGGGATTTGCCCTCCAGCCCTAGGGGTGTGGCCGGCCGACTGGCAGCCCAAAGATCTGCGCAGTGCGGGGACACTGGCCGATGGGCTTGCGCCAGCAGATCGGAGCAGGGTGGGGGAGACCCACATCGGGGGCTCAGAGGTGGAGTCACCCAGAGACCCCTCGAAGGTGGGACTCTGAGAAGCCCAGCCCAGGGTGGCCCTGAACGCTGGGGCTGGCTGCCCCCCCCAGGGGACTAGAGGGACCTGAAACGCAATTACTGGGGCCAAAAGGGACAGATGGTGACACAGGGCTGGGGGATGAAGGAAATGGCAGCCAGGCGGAGCCTCCGAGTCCCTGCTGGGTGGGAGCCCAGGGTGGGAGCCCACCTGGAGGAGGCACCACCTGCCCGAGGGAGGATGCAGTTGACTGGGCTGTGCCAAGGGGAGGGGACCCCCAGGCCAGGCCAGGCAAGCTGGGGAAGGTGGGGAGCCAGCCCCAGAATACCCGTACTCAATCCGAGTGTGGGACAGGCCCCGGGAACAATCACCACATCATCCCCACTGAGGTGGGGGGAAGGAGCGTCCAGGGGTTCTGGGACATGGGCGTGGAGGTGACACTGACACAGCCCCAGGTCGTGGGCCCAACCAGCTAGTGCCCTGCACATACCTGACCCTGAAGGAGTGTTTGGGCCAAGCCACAGTGCCTGTAGCAAAGATTCACCTGAAATGGGGTCTAAGGAGAGGCCCAAAGAGGCTGGGGGGCATGATCAGCTACCCACGCAGGAGCTAATGGGTAACAACTGGAGGAATGGCCAGAGGGCACTCAGAACACCCTGGTCCTCACCTGAAGCCAGTTAGTGAGGGATGCAAGACCTCCCAAAGGGGGGAGTGAAACACTGAGGGCAGGGCTAGACAGGGGAAGGCCAGAACCTCGGGCCCAAGGTAGGGAAACTGAGGCATGACCCTCCAGAGCCATACCCTCAACCCCAGCAGTGGAATTCCAGATGTAGCTACACAAGGATCCCTCCTCGGAGAAGCTGAGGCCCCTGGCTGGCCACGGGGGTGCAGGATCCAAGGGGGTGGACCATAGGGAGAGGTTCTTGTGGGAGCCGGGATTCCTGTGCCAGGAATGGATTGGCCCGGAGTAAACTGAACCTTGGAAAGCCGGAGGCAGTTGGGGGTTCCCCAGCGGTACCACCACGGGCTGTTGTACCTGGCCCACGATGTCCCCTTTTTGGGGCATCAGGGACTCCAGTGCACCGGGCAGAAGCTGCTGCAGAAGCCTTTTTTGGTGGCCCAACAATGCTGGACTCCTGCTGGGAGGAGGGGGCAGCCCAGGATAAGTCTAAAGCAGCTTTGAGGGCCCTGCCCATCACAGAAGGTGGCCCTGGACACAGTGGGGCCCCTCAGCCAGGCGACCTGATCTGGGAAGAAATACATTCTGGGGGCAGTGGATTTCGTTATTTGCTACCCCAGGCTCTGGCGCCATCCTCTTTCAAGGCAGACACTGCGGCCGATGCTCTGCTGGCCATTTTCAGCAGGGTCGGGTTCCCCAAGGAGGTCCCAGCCAGGGCACAGAAGGGGCAGAAAGTCTGGTACGACGGCTCCGCACGTGCCCGTTCCTATGCCACAGGGCCAGGTGATGCATCTCATCCCCGTGAGGACGACCAAGCTGCAAGCGGCCTGGAACGGCCCCTTCAGGGTCATCAGAGAGGTAAATGAGGAGAACTACGTGGTGGAACCTCCAACTGGGCACACAGCCACCCGGTCACCATGTCAGCATGATGAGCCGCACGGGGACAGGGAGAAGTTGGTGCTGGCTGTGTGTGGGCAGTGGGGGGACAGGGAGAAGGGATCCCCTGGTGGGTCTCTTTCCAGAGGCCAAGGCTGGCACCTCGCTGGAATCAGTTCCCCTCTCAGACCAGCTAACTCCTGCCCGGCACACAGAGATCAGAGAGCTGCTGCGCTCCCACCAGCGGCTGCCTCTGTCTGGCCTGGGCTCACTAACCTGGCTGTTCACCAGTGGAGACAGGAGCCCATCACCCCTCAGGCATAGCCCATCCCGGGACACTGGGAAAGCAGCCCAGGATCCGGAGAGAGGGGTCGGCGACAGGCCGGCTTTAGGGGCGATCCCCCCTTTCTCCAGCCCTGGGCCTCGCCCCTGGTGTTGGTTCCCAAGAAGGACAGGACAATCCGGGTCTGGGTGGACTGTTGGAAGCTCCGTGCCATCACCGTGTCCGACGCCTCCCCCATGCCCAGGCCTGACGAGACTCTAGACAAGTTGGGGGGCCCAGGACCTCACTGCTGTGGATCTCACCAAGGCTACTGGCGGTGGCTTTGGACCCAGAGGCCAGGGCACAGTCGGCCGTCACCACCCAATAGGTTCCTTCCAGTGCCTGGTCCTGCCTTTTGGCCACAGGGGGGCGCCTGCCGCTTTCTAGCGCCTGGCGGAGCAGTTGCTGAGGGGGTGCACAGCTTGGCTCTGGCTCATAGTGACGATATCTGTGTCTCTAGCCAGACCTGGGGCACCATGTGTCGCAGGTGAAGAAGGTGCAAGGCGGGGATGGCAGAGGTGCCCAATCCCCTGACAGAGCTGGGTGGGACGGGCCAGCCGGACAGGGTGGCTGGACTGAGCAGTGCCAGGGGGCTCTCTGTGCGCTGAAGGCGGCACTAGTCCAAGGCCCACAGCCGGTCAACCTGGATTTTAGCAAATCCTTCCTGGGGTTCACCCAGCCCCAGAGCCCGGGCTGGGCGCGGTGCTGATGCAAACTGGCCTAGTGGGGAGAAGCGCCCCACTGTGCACTCAGCAAGACGCTGCTGCCCCGGGAACAGCGCTCCGCGGCCAGAGAAGCAACGCCAGGCCCCGGGCTGGGCCCTTCCAACGCTGCAGCCCTGTCTATTTGGGCGGAGATTCCCGGTGTGCGCTGACCCCGCCCCCTGACCTGGCTGCACCAGGGGAAAGGGGCCAACGCCCAGCTGGGGCCTGCTCCTGCAGGATTACGACATGGAGGCGGGTCCATGTGAAGGGGAGCGCTAATGTCACAGCTGATGCTTTACCCCGGGGCGGGGCCCTGCACTTCCCCAGGCCACCGGCCAAGTGACCCTGCTCAGTTCAGACTGGAAGGGGACAGTTGTGACAAAGTGGGAGGGTTTGTGGGGGTTCAGTGTCCCTGGCTGTAACTGGTTTAAGAAGGGGAGGGGAAGGGGAAGGGAGTTTGTTGTTCCAGGGTCCAGCACAAACTGGAGACCCCAGCAACTAGTGACCAGGAGACCCAGATCAGATGGCACCTGGGCAGAAGACAGGGTATGTCCACTCCAGTTTTTTCTGGAAAAACTATACTTATGTCCACACTGCTATTGCGTTCTTTTGACAGAAAGTCGAAAGAACAAAGGGGATTTTCCAACAGCAGTAAACCTCTTTCTATGAGGAAGAAACCTTTTTCCAAAAAAGCTTTTTCGGAAAAAGGCAGAAAAGGGCGTTCTTTCGAAAGAAAAGGCCTCCAGGAAATAACACAGGTGCCCTGGTGGCCATTCCGCCCATACTAATCACAACTTAAATGCGAGATAGTGTCCAATCAATGTGGACACTATTTTTGGAAAAAGCAGATCGCTTTTTCATTGTGCTTTTACTGTGTGGATGCTCTTCCCAAATAAGCTTTTTTCCAGAAAAGCTTCTTCCAAAAGAAGCTTGAAACTTGCAGTCTAGATGTAGCCACAAAGGCCAGGAGAGGGGCTGCTGGGGAGGGATTTGGGGGCTGGGCTGGGAGGAGGGGGCTGCTGGCCTGGGCAGGGGGAGCAGGCAGAGCCCACCTGGCTGCAGGGGAGACTCAGACGTGCTGGGCTGAGGGGGGCCAGGCCTACAGGCCTGAGAGTTCCTGTGCTGTGTTCAGTGCTCAATAATTTCTCCTGTGTGACGCTGGCTAAGTCACTGGCCTTGGGTTGCATTACTCCCTGTAGGAATGGAGGCCAGGGGCCTCAGATCGAGTGGACTTCCCAAGGAGGTCCATGGACATCCCAGGAGGCAGATGGGCTAAATCCTGAAAGAGTGGCCTCGTGAGAAGGGGCTGTTGCACTAACAGGGGTTCCTCCGGGAGCCATACAGGCCAAGTGTGGGCATAACCTGTGAGTCCCTGACACCCACGAGTCTCTAGTCCCCTTGCAAAGCCAGGCATGCAGCCCCTCCCCTCCCCCTATCTTACATTGCAGGTGTAGTTGTGCCATGACTTGGAGACCTGGGGCAGCTTCTCCTTCTTCTTCCAGTTCGGGGGTGCCCCTTCACGCACGGGGTCCTGAGGAGGGAGGAAGATGGGGCAGAAGGGCAGCCATGAACCATTCCAAGGGGGGAACAATCTCGATGTTCATCTCCTGGAAGAGCTCCCGGCACTGCATGGAGATGAAATCCCCGGCCAGCGGTGACTTCACGATGCCTGGAAGCCCCCAGAGCTGGGAATGAACCCAGGAGTCTGGGCTCCCAGCCCCGACTTCTCTAACCCACCAGCCCCCATGGCCCTCCCATAGCAGGGGAGAGAACCCAGGATTTTGAGTTTTCAGCTCCCCTCTCCCACCAACACCCCCTCCAACCCACCAGCCCCACTTCCCTCTCAGGGCTGGGGAGAGAACCCAGATGCCCGGGCAGTGCCCACCTTGCTGCAGGATGTAGCCGTCATGCACAGGGATGGCCGTGGTGTGTGTGGCCCCACTGTCCAGCACAAGCCCTGTGCTGCGCCCGTTGGCAAAGCTGGGATCCGGGCAGTGAGTGGGTCAAGGGAGCAAGACAGGCAGTGGGGTACGTGGAACTCCTTGCCACTGGAGCATGTCACCTACTTCTTAACACCTCACAGCTCTGCCTGTGTCCTCCACATGTCCCCTGATCTCCAGAGGGCCCCCTGCAGGACCCTTTGCCAGATACTCTCCCATCCTCCTTCTGTCCCCCAGATTACCCCCCAGTGTCTGCCCAGCTCCTCTTCAACCCCAGTGCTCTGCTCCCTCTTTGCCACCAGTCCAATTTCCAGCCCTCAATCTCTTCCCAGTCCCCCACATCCTCTCCAGACCCCCCAGCACCTCCCAGGGCAGCTCCCAATCCCTCCCCAGCCCCACACATCATGTCCACTGGTTTCTTCTCCAGCCCTTACTTGTCCTCTCCAACCTCCCAGCCATTGTCTGCCAGTCCCCCGAGCCTCTCAGGATACGCGGTGAGCACAGCAGTCTTGCAGAGGAAGAAAGCTGGGATGCTGTAGTGCTCGAACATCAGCTCTGTCAGCTTCTCCCGCTTGGCCCGAGTGTTCCACTGCCGGGAGACAGAGGGCTGGGGGGCTGGGGGCGTATTGGGGCACTGAGGGCATGTTGGGGGCTCAGGGGCATCAGGGAGCATTAGGAAATGCAGTAGGGGTGCATGTTGCCTCCAGACCGACTGGAGGCCGGAGGAGAGGCCTCAGTGGAGCAGTGGGGATGATGTGAGGGTGCAGGCGGGTGAGGTGAGGTTGGGATACCCAGTGAGACCTCCTGATGCCTCGGACAGAAGCATGGGCTGCAGCAATGATGTTAGGGTACAGGTGTGCAGGGAGAGATACTGGGGTGCAGTGGCAGATATTAGGGCACAGAGGGCAATATCAGAGGTACAAGGGGTGATGCTGGGATGCAGGGGTGGTATCAGGGCACAGAGAGAAATGTTGAGGTGCAGGATGATGTCATGGTGGAGTGGTGATATTGGGGTGCAGGGGTGATGTTGGGCATGGGGTAATATTGGGGAGCAGGGATGATGTCAGGGCACATAGAGTAATGTTGGGGTGCAGGGGGAAATGTCAGGGAGCAGGGGGCAATGTTGGGGTGCAGGGATGCAGCGGGTGATAGCAGGGCACAAAGAGCAATGTCAGGATACAGGGGGTGATATCAGGGTGGTGG